TTTGCAACCAACATATGTTTTGACAATGCCTTACACTTAAAAAGTTTTGAGAGAAAGTTTTGGATTATATAAATATAATTGTGCAGCTAAAGCTAACAATTTTAGATAATAATATTCTTTTGAACTACGTACAGGGAGTCTTTGACTTATGACAATTGAGCTCAACATTTATGTTGCTAAGTTAGACATTTGTTAAATGAGTTTTGCCCCATTTTATGACTTTTCTTGACACAGTTGTTAAGTGAATAATTGTAGCTGTTAAGTTAGTAACCCAAATTGACTTTGCTTATCAGAAGGTCACAAACATGATAACATGACCCCAGAACACTGCGATCGTCTTAAATATGAATCCAGTTGCCAAGCTTCTGAATTTTAATCATGTGACTATGGGGATGCTACAGTAGTCATAAGTGTGAGAAACTATCATAATTCACTTTTTCAGGGCTGTTATAACTTTGAACGGTCAGTAAATGAACTGTTGTAAGTCAAGGACTATCTGTACTTGAAATTTTACATCTGGACAACATAAATGAATTACATGTGGCATTACCATGACTAAAAGACTTAGATTGCAACATTGGAAAGATAAATCTATGGTCCCATTTACTCAGTGGAAGACCAAAATGCACTTGTCACCTATGTGAAGATTTTCCTTTAGACACAGACTCTGTATCAAATATAATAAAATGGAACTCATTTATCTAAAATACAATAGCTTAAAATGATAGTTAAATGAATGCATTAGAACTACTGTACATATGAATATGAATAATAATTGCATTAGATAACTATATATAGCTGTAGCTATTCACAGCCAAAATTATATATTATACCTTTTTTCCTTTTGTTAGATTTCTTTACTTTAAAAAAAAGCATTCGTTTTTCTTTTTCCTTTTCTTTGACAATTCATGTATTTTTATCTTTTTTCCTTTCTCAGACATTATTTAAAAAGCAGTAAAAGAATAAATTTAAAAAATACGTGCCACCAAAATTTTCATTTATGTTTCTACAGTTCGGTAGGAACAGAGATAGGGCAATGCAGCACATGACGTACAACTTTAAGAATAAATGATCTTCCTTTTCTGCAGTTTATGTAATCTTAGTTGTCAAAAGAATAGTTATGAAAATAGAAGTTCGCACTTTATTACAATTACAAGTACTTTATTACAATTACAAATATCAATTGTAGCATCTGTACAATCGTACTAGACTTATGACAGCAGTTGAATCCAAAAATTTCAATTGCTTATGTGGGCAGTTGTTAATTTAGTTGCACCTCATTTTATGAACTTTTTGCCACAACTGTTAAGCAAATCACTATAGTTGCTTGTCAGAAGACGACTGGGAAGGTTATAAATGGTGATCACATGACACCCCCCCCCCCCCCCAAATACATGGCAGCTGCCAAGCACCTGGATTTTTATCATGTAACCATGGAGATACTGCAATGGTTTTAAGTGCAAAAACTGGTCATGTCACTTTTCTAGTGCTGTTGTAACTTTGAATGGTCATGAATGGTTGTAAATCGAGGACTACCTGTATTGAAATTAATCAATGCATATCTTTTTTTTTTAATTAATGCATATCAGTCCCTCCTATTACTCATGTGACCATTGAAATTTCTGAATTCAGTTGTTCTTCAGCAAGGTCTCAGCACCAAAAAGGGGGGATGTTAGTAATCCCAAACCATTAGAAACAAATGGTCCCTACAACATCGTCGTTTCATTCTAGAAGCAATTCCAAATGGCAAAACCCCTTCCTGCTCCATGCAACCATTTCATCCTAGGTTATTTCCATTTTTAAATAATTTTGCAGTTGACCTAACAATGGCCAATTAAGTCAATGAAGTATGTTCACTTTTCTTTCTTGTCCCCCTTTTAAAGCATCTTTAAGTTGCAAGATCAGAACTTTGCTGCTAAATTTTGCAAAGCTGGGCTATAAATTCTTTATTGCAAAATATCCAAAGGCATACATAGAAAAATGAAAAACTGTTCCTTATTGTTTTAATTATTGTATCATCAGAGGATTGGATGGTTTAGCATCAAAAGAGATACTGTAATGTGGGAAGGATGTGGGAAAGCATCATGTGTGGATATTTTGGGGGATGCAAAGGAAAGTCATGGGGATTAGCAAAGAGAGAACAAACCCTAAAAGGAAAATACAGGCACTGGTAGACCAGTTTGTACATTACTTTCCTTGTACATTTGCATTTCCTGCATAAGTGGGAAGGGCAAGAAGCATGGCAAGGACCGATAGACCTTGCAGAAGCTCAGCGCTGTTGTCTACCCGTTCAGTCTGGACTGGAATTATAGTCTGGAATTACAGAGACAGCTGAGAGCAGCCTAGGCAGCAATACAGAGTTTCTCTTGTCTGCAATTTCCAAATTGTGTGCGGTGGTGCCCCAGGGCATTACAGCAAGCTCACAGGGGCACAGTGGGAAATTTTAAATTCTCAGGGGAAGCTCAACAATGCTGAACATCTTCAGAAACTGCATGAACTACTAGCTCAAGGTGATTTGACAATTTGGATGCTGGGAAAATATTTTCTGAGACACTAAGGATGCCATGATCTGAAAAAGTTTCAGAACTTCTACCCTTACATGGTACAGTGGCTTATAACTTCCCTGTATCAGTGTAATGACTTGCATCACAGGAGATATGACAGCAATTCTATTTATCTCTAGCAAGTGTAACACCAAAGTGAAACTGCAGAATTATTCCTGTTTCCTTAGGAATATAATTCAGTAATCCTGTCACTTGAACAAAGTTTTTCAAGCTTGTATCTTTGAAGAAAATGAAATACAAATATAAATGAAATAAATAAATCAAAATTAGAAAAATGGTAAAAGTGCTACAATTTTTACTGCATTTCTTTCTCTTTTCTAGTTATTGTTGTTAGTTGTGGAGTTGTGTCCGACCCATTGTGACCCCATGGACTCCTGTCCTCTATCGTTCCCTGGAGTCCATTTAAACTCACGCCGACTGCTTCAGTGACTCCATCCAGCCACCTCATTCTCTGCTGTCTCCTTCTTCTTTTACCCTCAATTGTTCCCAGCATTAGGCTCTTCTCCAGTGAGTCTTTTCTTCTTATTAGATGGGCCAAAGTATTTGAGTTTCATCAAATTTGAGTTTCCTCTCTTTTCTAGAGAGGCGTCCAAATGCTTTTATTTCTGAGACTAACAGCTCTAGTAGATTAGTGACCAAGTCCTTGAGGCTTATTTCATTTTTCATATTTCCTCATTACATCAGTATTATTTGAGTATATTTTTTTAGCTAGCTTGTTCTGTTTTTGCAAGGACACTGCTGAATATTACCCAGAAACAAAAGATCTTCTGATTTTTTTAAAAAGGACCAGCCTAACAAACATGGTCCTTCTATGTACTGAAATATATTATTTTCAAAACATTTGCAAAGCAGAGGTTTTTATTCCTTAGCCCCATAACTAATTTTTATCACAGAGGCAACAATATCTTCATGCAATTACGACTGCATTGTAGGTCAAGGATTGGCCTTACCTATATTAGATATATGACAAGCAGACAATAGGATTCTGGGCGCCATAATTACATAGGGAGATCGTGAATGGATAATTGATTAAAAGTGTAGCTCACGGGAAGACTAGAAATATGTCTGAATCACAAAATCATTTCAAGCAGAGAATGGGATGGCAGAACACAGTGATTTTCACTAAAACCACCAAGAGGATGGTTTTGAATTATATCCTTAATCTTGTTTCTAAAGATTTCCCCCCCCACTATGTATTCTAAATGGTCTATGCTGTTCATAATTTTTCAACAATGTTAGCAGAATAAAATTGGCATTGGGTCAGACCAGTTTTTTTTCAATTCTCCTCCTACAATACAATCTACAAGTGCAGGCCCAAAGACACAAAACAAGCCCACAAATATTTGAGCCTGGGACATGTTAGCAGCCTCAAAGTAAACGAGAATATTTTAATGTACTGACATGTCATTTCCAATTTTTCTTGTCAAGTGTGTTAAATTAAATTACATTTAAAAGTGAGCTAAAGAGCAACATTTAAAATTGTTTGGTTACAAAATGTATGGTCTAAGTGTTATCCTGAAAATATTTCGGTAGAATTTGAAAAAAAAAACCCTATAAAAATGTCAGATTTATCTATCTATCTATCTATCTATTTATCTATCTATCTATCATCTATCTATCTATCTATCATCTATCATATTTATTTATTTCCCATCTCTCTCAAAAATGTTTTGCCTACATTTTTATTTGGGTGGCCAGACAAATCCTTGTATTTCCCTCTGCTTAACTTTAAATCTGAATAAGGGCTTCCAGCCCTTCAGACCAAAGTCCACTTCTGTGATTATTTAATCATTTCTTAAATTCGACAGGTCATTTAATTAATTAATATGGTTATACAGAAATTCTTCCTAACTGCAGGTCAACTACAGATCCATTAACAGATTCCATCTACTGCTCCCCCATATGGACACCAACTCACCAACATGTTATAATGTACTAGCTAGCTAAATAGGTGTAAATCAGTATTAATTATTAATACCATTGCATTTTTTCCCCAGTATCAGGTTGCAAAGTGGGGGGAGGGGGAGCCTGAGTGGGGTAGGAGGCTAATGCCTCCTACTAAGGCAGCATTTAACATCCAGCTGCCTGCAATTACTGCGAGTTCAATTCTCACCAGGCTCAAGGTCAACTCAGCCTTCCATCCTTTCTAAGGTAGGTAAATTGAGGACCCAGTTTGTGGGGGCAATAAGCTGACTTTGTAAAAATATACGAAAGTATGAAGGCTATTGCTTAACGCACTGTAAGCCGCCCTGAGTCTCCGGAGAAGGGCGGCATATAAATCAAATTTAAAAAAAAAAATATGTGTGGAGATGGAACCTAAAATTTTCCTTTTCGCTGCTAGTTTATCAAAATGCCACTAGAGGGAAGCCAATTGCAAGGAATATCTTTGACTCGTCCGGAGTGGGCAAAGTTCTCCAAACTTCCCATCTCCTCCGATTGCTCGTGGGGTACGTATTTCCGTTCCTCTGACGCTTGGCCGAAACCGAGCTCCAGTATGCGAAAACATCCCTCTCTACGCCTCCCCCCCCCTCCGCCCGATGGATTCTATGACTAAGAGAACATTCTGCGGTGTCGTAGCACCACAAGACAGCACGAAGTTGGCGTCTCATTGCGAAGACCCACGTAACTTTCTTTCGCCTCTAGCGGGATCTGATTTCCAGATTCCAAAAGGAAAAGAAAACAATTGGATCAATTTTGAAGAGAAAGATTGGGGGAGGGGGGGGGGAATAACGGATCTTGAGCCTCCTAGATGAAAGACGTTTGAATCCCTCGGTGGACTAAACGGAGGACTCTTAGTCGCATCGTGCAATTCAGCCCCCTTCGATTAACAGCGAGCAGCATCCCTGGAGGAGAATAACAGGACCGACGTCGAAGGAGTCGAGGGCGGGGACTGAGAGGTGGTCCTGAGGCTTAGTGAGCTCGGGAAGGACAGAAAGACCCCAAACCTGCCAGCAACAGAACTTGCCCGGGATTTAGGATCAGGTTGAACTCCTTTCTCACCGGGATCCACGTAACAAACGAGGATTAGAGCAACTGATCGGTCACGACACCTCCCCCCCCCCACCTCATCCCACTGCCCCCCCATCCCCCTTTGTATCTTCAGCACCCTCGCCGGGAGGAATATTTGGAAGATGGGAGCGCGTGAGACCCAGCGGGTGGAAGCTGCTCCAGCCCTGGCCGTGCACAACGGCGGGGAGCGGCGGTGGGAGAGCGAGGGAGCCGCGGCTCAGTAGAAGGACCGGCGGAGGAAGCCCCGAAGAAAGGAACGGCCGCTCGCTCTCCGGCGCCCGCCACCCGGCCTTTGGCTCTGGCGCTGCCCTCGCTTCCGAGACGGAGGTGCGGAGGAAGCGCCGCGCTTGCTGACAGCCAGGCGAGCCCGAAGCGAAGAGAGCAGGTGCCGCTGACCTTCTCGGGCGGGCGGGCTGGCAGGCAGCGTCCCCCTCGCTCTGCCCGGGCTTCCGTTCGCCGGCGGAGGCTGCCGAGAGGCGAAGGGGCGGCTCGCAGTTCTCCCTGTGAGGCACGGCGGACGGCTACGAGGGGGAGCGCGCGGAGCGGCTGGCAGCCCCCGCCCACCCCAGGGAGCCATTGCCCGCCTGCCGGTGAGGAAAGCGGGCAGGGGAGAGAGTCGCGCTCCCAGTCCCCGCCCTCCGCTCGGCGGCTGGCGCTGACAGGCCCTGGGCGGGCTGGGCTCGGCGGCCCCTGCTCCGGCTGCCATGTGCTGGGGCTGCCGCCTCTCCCGCGGCCTCCCTCGCTGGTCTAAATGCTCCTAGGGGCGTCCTGGCTGTGCTCCTCCAAGGCTGCCGCCGCAGAGAAGCGAGCAGCGGAGGAGAGGCGGAGGCGGCGGGCGGCTTCGGCGGTAGCGGGAAGCGGCGGCGGCGGGGGCAACGGCGAGGGACCGCCGCCCGCCGCCGGAGGGGCCATGGACGAGTCGTCGTTGCTGGACTTGTTGGAGTGCTCCGTGTGCCTGGAGCGCCTGGACACGACGGCCAAGGTGCTCCCCTGCCAGCACACCTTCTGCCGCCGCTGCCTGGAGAGCATTGTCAGCTCCCGCCACGAGCTGCGCTGCCCCGAGTGCCGCATCCTGGTGGGCTGCGGCGTCGACGAGCTGCCCGCCAACATCCTGCTCGTCCGCCTGCTGGACGGCATTCGGCAGAGACCCCGCGCGGGCGCTGGAAGCGGCTGTTGCGGGGGTGGCAACTGCGGGCCCGGCAGCCCCAAGTCCCCCAGCAACGCTGGCCTTTCGGGCGGCGACAGCGGGGAGAACCCTACCGCCGTTGGAGCAGGAGGTGGAGGAAACAGCGCGGTTCCCCCGGTTAACCCTGGTTGTCAACCCGCCGCGGTGGCCACCACGTCCAGCGGCTCCCCGAGTGTGGCCGCTGCAGCGGCTTCAGCCGCCGCCAGTCTGCGGGAACTCGCTGCCGCCAGCCGGAGCGCCTTGCTTAAGGTAAGTTAGAAGCCAAGTCACTCTTTCTTTCTTTCTTTCTTTCTTTCTTTCTTTCTTTCTTTCTTTCTTTCTTTCTTTCTTTCTTTCTTTCTTTCTTCCTTTCTTCCTTCCTTCCTTCCTTCCTTCCTTCCTTCGGTGACCCGCCCCTTTTCCGAACGCTGTTTGTGTCAACCTTTTCAACTTTGCACCATAGAAACACCTTTCTCCACTTCTCATCCAGGAGTGTGACTATGTGTTATTGGGTTGGCGCCAGCAACTTTGCTGGCTCTCTGAGTTAAACTTTGATGATTAGATTAGAGGTAGCAGGGTATGTGGCAGTCCTAAGGGTGGTAGATGTCCTGCAAAGACTGCTGTCCTTTAAAAGCATGTTGTGAGAACAGTGTTTTTATTTACTTTTAGAAATTCCTCACCAGGAGGCAAAAGTGGAGTCAGATGCAATGGGGAGATTGCAACTCCTCTTTCTTTCCATGGCTTTCTCTCCCATTTGAGAGCTTCCGCTCAGCTCTGTGAATGTCCTATAATTTTCCTTGAAAACAGCTCTAGGAGGTTCAAATTATGATTATTCAGAATTGCAGGACTAATAAGAGGTGCATCTGCCAAAAATCCTTTTCGCTGAACTGAAGCATAGAGGATTCACTTTGGCATCAGTGACAATATAGTGATGGTTCTTTAATTTGTTTCAAACAGTATTTAGCACCGATACTTGTTTATGTGACATATAAGACACCCTCTGCTTTTCTAAAATGATGCACATTGACCCTCAAATACTGGTGATGTAGTAAAATGTATATTAATTGTATACTTAGCTTAGTCCTTACTGTTTCTGAACCTCCTTTCCCCTACTCATGCTTTGGTCTAAGGAGGATTCCATTCTGTGCAATTGTCCTTAGAAAATCCCCTTTCTTGTTATATTGTTTGAAGCTATTCTTTATGTTTCTGTTACAGTACCATGGATCATCAAATCCTGAAGTAACAGTTTAGCTTTTTAAAGCAATTTTCATAAGGACATATCATTTCTTGTTTCTAACATGAGTACTTGAGTACATGAGGGAGCAAGCATTGTTTAAAATCATTGCTAAGGGTTTGGTCTGGGCAACATTTCTTTCTTTGAAGGAACAGTGACTGTAATGAATTCATTTCTTTTACATAAAAGTCATAATGCTTTAAATAATAGTCAGTGTGTTGAATAATATACAGTACTGGACTTTGTGGTTGAATAAGCTACATGATACAGAAGCTGTAGTAAAACATACGCTACATAAATACAAGTTCCTCTAATCCCAGTTGTAAGAAATAGTCAGCAAGTGATTGGAAACTCATTTCTCTTCTTCAGACTCCAGAGAGCACCTACCAGTCAGAATAGATAACATGGTGCTGAATGTAAAAAATACGCTATGGTGAAAAGTAGCTTTCGCATGTTCTCGTGAAGCAATAGCATTATTTAATCATCACATAGTAAAACTAGTTTTTCCATGTGTCAGATGGACTACCTTACCATCTCATTATGTGAGACTCTGGAACATGACCACAATCAGGAGATACTGCTAGACCTATAGCAAAAATCAGCATTGTTAGTGCAAGAGTGAGTGGTTTCTTGTACATACTGGTGTATAACAAGTGACAAGAGTTGTTAAAAGCCTCTTTTTGTTTGCAGTGACAGACTCACCTCACTTTTAAAATAACATATCCACTGTCACAAATGTGTGGTTGCATGTTTGCTCCCTTTTTCAGGGTAATAAGTTCATGAATGAGTTCATTGAAATTATTTGTTTAGCCTTCTAAGTGATTTTACAGCATTACCTTTTAATCAGCACAGCATTTCCAATCCTTAAAAGGTTCCTCACAGCAAAAGAACTTTGAAGTAATGCTAAATATGTAACTATACAAGGAGATAAAATTCTTGGAATTGTTACTATTAGTTATTTCACACCTTCTCCTCAAAACTAAATGGAGTTCCTTGTATGTATTAAGCAATATAGATTATAAAGTAGGTGATTGCAAAGAACAGATGATTTACCAAATTATAATATTTATTCAGGGGGAAATATCCCCAAATAACTTCTTACTCTATAATTTTCTGGGAATAAATACTAATTGGTCATCAAAAGTAGAATTCATCCTAACTCTTCACCTACTACCACAGGAAGAATTATGAATGGTAGAAGTAGCATGCTTATGCTTACTAAGTGCAAAATTATTATCATGTTGGATAGCATTTTTGTTAAAGAAAATTAAGAAGCAATTTTTTAAATTTGATGGCAGCCATCCATTGTGCATTTGCAGGAAATTTAAGTTCATAGTGGTTTTGTAAAACATAGCTGATAGCTTCTTCTTTGAATTCCTACCAATCTAAACTGTTTTTATGAGGACACAGAATACATTAACTTACTGCAGCTCATAGCCTTAGACTGTATTGGACTAAGTAATTAGGGATATTGGGATGTGGAATTACCTACAAAGGGAAGTAGAATGTCAGCCATTAGAAGATTTTTTGTCTCAGATCCAATATGCATTTGTTATGGATGCTTAAATTGGCAATAAATCTCAGAATGGCAAATTATACCAGATGATCTGATTTCATTGTGCCTATAACTCTGTATATCTATTAAGAAATATGCAGTTCTCTCAAAGCAAACTTACTGAATTAAGTAATTAAAATTTCCCTAGAGAAAATTTATCAGTCGTCCGTGTTATGACCATAAAGTACAGGTAGGCTAACTAGTTTAGCCACTGTAGGTTACTGTAGATTACTCCACTTAAAAATGTCTGTCTTGTTATAGCTGACACTATAAAACGGTTTTGCTGCTGTTGTTCTTGTAATTGATATTGTTAAGAAAATCCTGTTTCTCACTTCTGAAATGTACAGTTGATAAATATATCTGCCTGAACCTATACTAGGTTGTCATTGCTGATATTTTTTGTTTAAATAAAATCCGAAATCCTATTCTGTTTTATAACTTAATAAATATTTTGCATCTGCAAATGAGATGAATTTTTGATCCTCAGCCTATGCTAGAAAGTACTTACTTTTACCTAACTACTTATTCAATAGTCAACATTTTTTAAAAGCCTCATGAAGTCCAAGACATTTAGCATTCATTTGACATGTTAAAAGGAAACAGCAACAAGCTCTGGATTTTTATTTGCATTTTGATGCTTCATTTTGATAAGGGGATCACTGGAAAAAGAGGATGTGTTTAGAAATATATGCAGTATTCATTAAGCTTGTGTTATTCAGGAATATTGTTCTGTATAGTTGTCATTTTTTTGTTTGTTTAATAAGACCCTGACCTCTGTTTAGATGAATAAGCACACATTGTGGTTTTTTTCCAGTGGACGAGGGGAAATAATTTACCCAAAATTGAATGGAAGAAAAATTATAGTAATTCCTATGATATGGGATATATAGAATATTTTCACGCTCAAACATATTTATTTACTCTATATAGTGCCAAACTCCCAAAAGGTTCCAGAAGATTACAGTATAACTAATACAATTGTAAGATCAATACATAACATAAAATCCATAGAACTGCCGTCCCACTACAGTGTCCATTAATGAATGACAACTTTTTGGTGAAAATTATAGATTAAACTCTGCGAAACAACTTTGTGTTTACAGCTTTGGAAAAGTGGTTTTCACATGCTTGTTATTGTTGCTGTGTTTAAAATATTGGGGGGGGGGGGGTTTAAACTATTTTATTTTTCTCTCTAATTTGAGGGTACACTTGTACAAGTATTGACCCATTCAGCTGAATATAGTTACATACTGACATCAGCCATCAGCTTTGTATACTTTCATTCTTTGTTTCACAACCTTAGATTGTGATGAATAAAGCTTGAAGCTTGAAGCATGAGTTATAAAGGCAGCTATTAAAAGGATATGACAAGAACTCTAATTATTTGGGGGCTACCAGATCCAGGCAAGACATAAACTGCACAAGTGCTAAAATGGCAGAAAAGAGTTTTCTGTATCTTTTTGCTACTATCTAGTGATCACCTGGATTTATGCAGTCTAAAACTAGCAGCCCCAAACTATTCCTTCCAACATGCTTATATTTAGGGGAAAAAATGCAAAGTGCATGTTCTTAAAGATTCTCAATATGTAAAGATACTAGTCTTCTGTGATTGTGAGAGATACTGAAATAGTGTCTTTATGGTGGATATTCTTAAAATTGATTATAGAATCTATTGTTCACAAATATCCAATGCATTCTATGTTAAAGTATTTTGCTACATTAAGTATTAGCAAGTTGCATTTAACTAATCTTCTTTAACTGTAACCTTTAGTTTCTTCTGTTTCCCTGTGGTGTCCAGTCTTCAAAGTCTCATACTGTCATGTTTTATTTTAAGAATTCAAAACTACAACATTTCCTCATGGGAAGGATTGTTATAATTATTTTCAAAATCTTATTTCAAATCCATCTGGACTCTTAGTCCTTCTATAACTTTCCAAAATCAACACTCTAATCATCCTTTTGTTGTTTATTTTTTCTAAGTCCCTAAATACATACTTAAAACTTCCTTCACTAAGAATTGAAGGAAACCCACTCAGTGAATGCCATAAAACTTGTCACTCTGGGGGTTCTTAATATTTGAAAAGCAATTAAAAAGTAATTCCAGAAGTGATTAAGAAATGAGGTTCAATCAAACTTTGTTTCCACATAGGCTACATGAGCTTAGTTGAAATCCCTCAACTCCCAACTGCTTAATTTTCAACTGCTGTCTACTACCAAGGAGCAGCTGCCTGGAGATCCCCTATGGGTGATCTCACGATCTCTCCTTTCTCCAGAGAGATTCCGCTTACTTGGATCCAACAGCTGGTTACCAATCTCCATTGAAATGTCGTCCCCACTCCTTCAGGAATATTTAGGTCACCATGATCTACCAGAAGCTTGTGACTCTTGGAACCTTTTTTCCATCACATTTTTTCTTCTTCTACTAATTGAGGAAGACTTTTGCCATTATTTATTTATTTATATTTAGAGTGAAACCATATT